TTGTGAGATACCCACGTGGATGGAGATGCTCTAAACATCAAGTATGGTACTATTTCGCCTACAATAGCACCATTTTGGTTACTACCCCCATGTGATGTTTTTTTTTTCTCAAGAAACATGACGTTGATTTTTATGATTTCATCACAAAAGAAAGGACAATCACTATTCACTGGCGTTAATCTAAGAAAACCCTTAATTTAATCAGAAAGGACCGTTGGGGAAATTTATTAACAACATTGCCAAAATATTACTTTACATTTGTTGTATAAATTAGTCTACAACTCTAGTGGGAGTTACAAAACCACAAACACCAACAACAAATCCACTAAATAAAAAAATTCAAGAAACCAAGGAAGAAGAAAGGAAATGGAAGAGAGAAAAGGGAGGAGGATAATCATGTTCCCTTTACCATTTCCTGGTCACTTCAACCCTATGATCGAACTCGCCGGAATATTCCACCACCGTGGCTTATCCGTCACGATCCTCCACACTTCTTACAACTCTCCCGATCCTTCTCGCCACCCACACTTCACTTTCCGAACCATCTATCACAAGAAAGAAGGAGAAGAAGACCAAGACCCTCTCTCTCAAACAAAAGCTTCGGGTATGGACCTTGTGGCTCTCATTCGTGTGTTGAAAAAAAGTTACGAGGAACCGTTTCGAAAGTCTCTTGCAGCGGAGGTAGTCGGAGGAGAGACGGTGTGTTGTTTGGTCTCCGACGCTATTTGGGGGAAGAACACGGAGGTTGCGGCGAAAGAGGTTGGAGTTGGTAGAGTAGTGTTGAGGACAGGCGGTGCGGCGTCGTTTTGTGCGTTTGCCGCTTTCCCTCTCCTTAGAGATAAGCATTACTTCCCTATACAAGGTAAACACGTCCTTTACCTTTCAATTTCAATTTTTTTTTATCTTATGAAAAATATTTGTCCCTTGGCTCTAATCTAGCTGTACAAATTGAGGCATAGACAAAACATGTGATTTTGACCCCCAAAAAAAAAAAGGACAAACATGTGATCGAGGGTGTAACTGATAACCGCTGAATTTATGCTGAATTACTGTTGAGTTGTTTAATTTACTGAAGTTTTAGTGATTTTTTATAGAATTTGCTGAATAATATCAAACTTAAATAGTAACTGCGAAATTTGTAAAATTTGCTAAATCTGCTGAATTTTTGAAAAAATAATTAATTAATAAAGATAAATTTTAAAAAATACTATTTTTCAAAAATGCCACCTTTTAAAATTTTTGTAAAAATGCCACTTTTTGAAAAACAAATTTCATTATATCATTTATGTTTAGGTTAACTATGTTGTATTAGAGTTTAGTTTTGAGGGTTTAAAGGGCTTTAGAGGTCAAAACATTTTTTAGGGTTATAATTTTAAGATTTAGGTTTTAAAAATCTATAATTAATGATATTTTTGCAAATAGACACTCCTAAGTGGCATTTTTGCAAATGTACATACCAAAAATGGCATTTTTACAATTTCCCCTTAAATAAATTAATAGATTGATAAAACAAATTTATATACATAATTTATGATATAATATTTTACTATTGAAATTGAATTATTTTTTAGTAAACCTAATTTTTCAAATATTACTATATTATTTTAGAATTATCAAACAAATTTAGTAAGATTTAATCACACCACATATATATTT